ATCTTTCCTACTTATAAGTTTGATAGGTATGGTTTTTAACTATACGTGCGAGTATAAGAACTCAAAGTTGTCCTACGCTACTCTTTTTATATTTCATACTATACTACTTTATATATTACTCCTATTATTAAAGTGAAGTGCACTAGGGCAATCACAAAAAGTCCAGTTAAATGATCTGCATACTACAGCCATAGTATATAGAGGTTCAATATAAAAGGTTAGTTGCATTGCATAATCTTTTTATTAACTTGTTCTATTTTTTGCTTATTAAACCAACTTTTATTAATCTTAAAGAAAATTTTACATCCAACATGAAAATTTCTTCTAAATAAACGCTCTATATTCTTATCATTATAATAAACATAACAACTATTATAGAATTTTTGAAAACTTAAACCGCTTTCCTCTAAGGGTGTGCCCAACTGCGTGATTATATAGAGGGATAACTGTATAATGATAATACAATGTTTTAGCTATAAATTTTATTATCGAAATTTTATATTGCTTAAAATTTTTAAAATTCTATTTTCGCTTAAGATGTTTAGAAAAAATCTCACCAGTAAGTTGATTCTGAATCCACTTAAGTGGATTCAGAATTTACAGAATTCCAAATCTACCTACAACATTAACAGTTAGGTTTCAGTTTTGAGTTGCGGCTTTATTTACTTAAAAAAAAATCGATGCCGAAATATTTTCGACACAGATGCAACTAGTTTCTAGTTAAAGCTAAACTTCGTATTATCGTATTTTGTAGATGAAAACATGCAAAGCGGTTGATGTGACTTCCGTAATCACAGAAACCAGCAGAATTTTTCTTAAAAGCGGTTAATTAGATTGAAGAATTATGAAGAAATCATGTCGATAAAAGCATTATGATGTTAGAAATGCACAATTTTTACATTAACACCATAGAAAATCGCTTCTGGTTGGCATTTCCCTTTTGGGAGATTGTATTACTCGAGAAAATACTGTGGATGTCAAAGAAACTTCCTTAAGTACACTCTCGAAACTACAAAAAAAAAAAAAGAAGCTCATTTATAGAAATGATTTTCCATATGTACTACGCTCTTGAACCGGAGATGAGTACGTTTATAGAGAAAATAATTAGCGTGTGCATTTTAGGAATCATATACTTGGGAGAGTCCTCGTATTAAGACCAAGCAATTTATAATGAATCGATTTGCGACTTCTGGGTTCAACATCTTAGAAAAGTTAAATATTAATATATTTCAGTCGTTATCTATTTTTAATGATATCAATGATGTTCGCTGGTGAAATTAGAGTGGTGAAATAATTTCACCACTATGAAATTAATTTCACTAGCATTTCTAGTTTCAAAGCCTAGCTGTAAAAGAAAATTCTCACTGTTCTTCTTTTAATAAAAACATTAACTCTTTACATTGTGGTTAAATTGAACCATAAAGATGATGAAGTGCAAAATGAACTAGATAAGTGAACTGGGCAACAAATGTGACCTGAAGCCACAGCGCACATTTGCCAGTTTTCTCATTTAAAAATCGTTTCCCTAAATGTTATGTTGGCGATCATAAACTTTATTTTTACCGGTACATAGGATAATATCATTTGATATCTAAAAATAGCATAATTATTATATGTGACTGGTATTGGGTGATGCTTTTGTTAGTTTCTATAATAAGTTAGAAAGAGCCCACATTTCGTGTTAACAATTATTTAAGTGAACAGACAATCCTTTAATAAATTATATAAGGCAACATTGTCTTGTCAGTTGATTAAATTACTCCTTATTGATCGTCTGTTTATTTTGATCAATAGTACAATTATTTTCTAAATGTGAACCTTTTTTTAATTTCGAAAATTTTAGTCAATATCTATATTACCATTTATCATGCTTTTTAAAGAATCATAAATCTTGCTATTTCTAAACAGTAATTTAATAATGTTAACATTAATAATAACCAAGTTATTAAACACCAAGAATCCTAATTGGTTACAATCCTCAAGATTTAGATCTTTACGAATCACTAATTCAAATATTGGTACTTGTGGTGGTAATGAAAGGATAAAATTAATTTCATCAGTATTAAGGAATAATAGATGTGAAAGTGTTCGCTTGTATCATGATGATGGTGCTTTTGGATTTAGAATTCCTAGAGTATTTAGCATGACTGATTGTAGGTTTTATTTTATAATTATGAGATATTAAAAATCGAAACATTGCTAATTTGTGCTTACACACATCGTAAAAGATACACAAGAAGAATTATCAAATAGAGTTGAAAATGCAAATTTATTAAGATATATTACTGCTTATCGAACTCATGGTCATAGATGTGCATATATTGATCCTTTAGGAATTATGGAACGAGAGTAAGTTCCTAAAATTGAACTTTTACTACTTTATTTAATATATTATATAAATTGTATCTTATTTACGATTTAGAGAAGTTGTTGCTTTGGATCATGCTCGATATGGATTAACAGATCCTACAAAAGTTTATAATTTGACTGGTAAATCTATATAATAATCCTCTATTCATTTTTAATTTATGAGGGTGAGTTAGTGGAGACGTACCAAATTTAAGTTTTCTTGAAGATATCTTGAGGTTACTAATCGATTTTAATATTTATAATTTAAAAATCTATAAAATTACAATGATATCAAAAAAAAAATTTATTTCTAAAACATTTGGTGCGTTTCTGCTGACTTACTCGATAGTGAAAATTTGCTGTCAAATATAATAGAAATATCTATCGGGCTGTTTTATCATATCAGGAATTTTGCATGTAAACGAATCAAAAACTTCGACAAACTCAAAAGCTGAAGCAAATCTCGGACATATTATTTCACATTTAAAAAAAGTTTATTGTGGTAAAGTTGCTTATGAGTTCATGCATATTCCAGTGAGTAATTTATTAAATCTATATATTTAAAGAAATATAATATATTATCATTAATAATAATTTTCTTGTAGAATGCAAGTGAAAGGCGATGGTTTTATTATATGATAGAATCGTTTAATACTTTATCGTTGACTATTGAACAGAAACGAAGAATTTTCGAAGTGCTAACTAGATCGGAGGTATTTAAAGTTTTTTTTCTTTCACATTAAAATTTATGTTGTTATAAAAAAATTATTGAAATTTCCATTTAATTTTTCATTGAATAGGTATTTGATCATTTTATGGCAAAGAAATTTCCTCAAGTTAAACGATATGGTCTAGAAGGTGCCGAATCAATGATTGTGGCTTTAGATAGATTATTTGAGGTGTCCAATAAATGTAAATTTTTAACCTTTCTTGGTGAAATTATTATTTATTTGTTAATTAAGTGGTTTTTTTTCCTGAACCTGATGTATATTTTGGAATTATTTATTAGCCGGAATTGTCGAAGCTGTTTTATGTATGCCGCATAGAGGTCGTCTAAACCTATTAACAGATTTGCTACACTTTTCGCCTACAAGATTATTTCATAAAATTAAAGGAAATCCGGAATTTCCTGAAAATTTACCTGCCACCGGCGATGTTCTGTCTCACCTTGGTACGTACTATTTTAAAATAATAATATTATTGTTATTATTACTATTATTATTATTGATTTTTTTAATAATTTAAATTTGTGAAATTTTACAGCCATCTCATCAACGTTGGAATATGGTGGTGCAAAGCCTATTACTATATCAATGCTACATAATCCTTCCCATCTTGAGGTATGTTATCTTTTTTATACTCAATCAGAGATAGATCATTCTTCAGAATTCGGTTTTTACACCATGTTGGATCACTACTGTTTAGTTGACTTTATGGAAACTTTAAATTAATAACATTAATTTTATTCTGCATAAAGAAATAACTGAGTTCTATCAATTGCTGTCAACTCGCGTCATCTTATTTTATTATTAAGATAGATATGCATGTATAATATATTTGGAGGTTAATATGTTTTTTTGATGACAATAGGCAGTAAATCCAGTAGCAATGGGAAAAGCACGAGCAAAACAAATGGACCTTATAAAATCCGAAACAGATTGCGAACTTGGTGATCGTGTTATGTGTATACAATTACATGGTGATGCGGTAATTTTCTCAAATTAATATTTTTTTATTTATTTTTAAATTGCATTATTTATTTTTATTGAAAGTGAAAAGTAAAATAGGCATTTACAGGGCAAGGCGTTATAATGGAAAGTTTTGGATTATCAAATTTACCACATTTTTCATCCGGTGGATCGATACATATTGTAGTAAATAATCAATTGGGTTATACAACTCCTGCTCAAAATGCTAGAAGTAGTTGGTATTGTAGTGATATTGGAAAAATGATTAATGCTCCTGTAATTCATGTTAATGGTGATTTTCCTGAGGTAATTCATATTTTAGATATTGAATAATATTTATGAAAATTTGAGCTAAAAGATTTGGGTTTTATATTTTTCATCTTATAGGAAGTGACTCGAGCTGTTGAAGTGGCATTTGAGTATAGAAACAAGTTTCGAAAAGTACTTTTAATTAGCTTATCATATATACTGTATATATTTTTTTAAAATATTTTATTAAATACTCCAAGATATTTTGCTTAAATTAGGATGTTATAATAGACTTGATAAGTTACCGTCGATGGGGGCATAATGAACTTGATGAACCAGCATTTACGCAGCCATTGATGTATAATAATATAAGGTCAAGAAAGAGTGTACCAAAGTTATATGAAGAAAAGCTATTGGTAATATATTGTTTTTTATTTTTATAATAATAATATAGAACTACAGTCATCATTATTATTAATGAATTTTAATAAAATAATATAGGCGGAAGAATCAATTCTTTCAGATAACGATATTTCAGAATTTAGAAAGAATTATTTTAACACTTTGGATGAATATTATAAAAAGAGTGATACATATAAGCCAGAGGTATATTATTTGTAGATTATTTATAACGGGGTTTTTTTTTTTTTTTTTTAGTTAATGAGCGGGTTTTTGATCATAAAATTTAGGCAGATATGTTAAAAAAGAAATGGGATGGATTTATAATGCCGACTGAAACTGTTACTAAAATGGATACGAGTACGTAATATGTATTATTTAACAAAGAAAAAAAATATATTTGAATGGTAAATAATCTAAAATTTGTTATAGGTATTTCAAGAGAAACTTTAGAAAATATTGGAAAGACATCTGTTAATATACCTCATGAAATTGTATATTATTCAAATATTTATTTATAATAATCTATCCATATATATATAGTAATTTAAATTCTAATAATTAACAGTCGGTTCATTCGAGATTAAAAAAATATCATATACAGTCAAGATTGCAGAAAATTACTGAAGGAAAGAATATTGACTGGGCTACTGCAGAGGTTTGAAATTTTTTTTTATTTGCATATTTTTTTCTAACAATACTATTCATTCTTAGTACCTCCATTGTATAACTACTATATAATTTTTTTTATATATCAACTTTGAAAATAGGCATTAGCACTTGGATCATTAATGATAGAGGGGCATAATGTAAGATTATGTGGTCAAGATGTTGGTCGAGGAACTTTTAGTCAACGTCATGCAATGATTGTATGTCAAGATACAGAAAGAGTTGTTGTACCTTTAAATAACTTGGCATCTAATCAAGGAATGCTTGAGGCATGTTTTATATCAATACTCGTTTTTTTAATTAGTTAGTTATAATAGTATTTATATAAACGCTAGGTTATTTTTAATTAAATAGATTGTGAATAGTCCCCTAAGTGAACTAGCTGTTGTAGGATTTGAGTATGGAATGTCATATGAATCTCCACACAATCTTGTTATCTGGGAAGCTCAATTTGGGGACTTTTTTAATGGAGCTCAAGTTGTTATTGATACTTATGTTTCTAGTGGCGAAGGTATGTTTTCGAAAAAGAAATGATAAAGAAATTTATTGTTTCAATTACAATAATTTATATATAAAAATTTCAGTAAAGTGGTTAAGACAATCTGGGCTTGTGATGCTTTTGCCACATGGTTACGATGGCGCAGGACCTGAGCATTCTAGTTGTAGAATTGAAAGATTCTTGCAGGCAAGCCCTTTACTTATTTTTTCTTTTCTTTTTTTTTTTTTAAAAAAAAAATAATGCACTAAAGTCTTATCGTTTTATAATTATTACTATAGTTAACAAATGATAAATTTGACATCCTAGATGAGAGTATACCAAACAATCCAAATATGCATATTGTGAACCTGACAACTCCTGCACAATATTTTCATGTTTTAAGAAGACAGGTACCGTATAATATTTTCACTTATTTATCTTTTATAAATATAGGTGATAACAATATTTAATATATAAATATATGTAGATGAAAAGAAATTTTAGAAAACCATTAATAATAGCTACACCAAAAATATTACTAAAATCACCCGTAAGATTTTATTTACCTATCTATTAACTGGTAGTTTAAAGTTAAGCTAATACTTTTGTAAATATAGAATGCAGTATCCGATTTTGAAGATATGTTGGACGAGACTACGTTTTTGCCTATTATTGAAGATAAATCCGTTATTGATGATAAGTAAGTTGAATTTATTTTAATTTTATTTATATCTAATTAAAAATTAATTGTTGTAATATATCTTAATCTGTTTTGTTGATTGTTGTAATTGAAGGGTTGAAAAAATTATATTCGTATCGGGAAAACTTTATTATGATTTAGTCAAAGAGAGGCAGAGTAAAAAACTTGAAGATAAAATTGCTATTATTAGATTTGAGGTATTTTATTTACTGGTCAACCAAGGAAATAACATTGCTATTAGTAATTTAAAAAAAATAATACGCTTAATAATTTTTTTTATACTTATAGGAGTTATGCCCATTTCCAAAATCTGACGTTGAAAAAGAATTGAAAAAATATACAAACGCTAAAGGTGTTTAAAATTTTTATTTACTATGTTTTATTGTTCATACTATATTAGTTTTATACTTAAAGATTTTACAAAAAATAGAGTTTATTTGGTGTCAAGAAGAACCACAAAATAATGGCGCCTATACATTTATTGAGCCAAGATTAAAGCAACTATTACCATCTGAACAAAAGGTAATTATTGTAAATCATATTTATTTTTTTTTATTTCGATAAAAAAAAGTTAACTTCAATTTATTTTTTATGTAGTTAAAATATATTGGGAGACCACCAAGTGTTGCACCAGCTGTTGGTGTTTCGCAATGGCACAAAGCGGAGATCAATAATGTTTTAAAAAATGTATTTTAGATTATTTGTAATTTTTACTAAAATTTAATTTTGCTATACGTATTTAATAAACTAGAGCTTTATAAACTTTTTCTTGAATAATCTTTATAGTGTGGGCCAGCACTGTGTAACCAGAATGTAATTCTGTCAACATTAAACTGTTAATAGATTATATATCACGCAGTAACATTAAATAATTTATACATAACAAATAATAATGATCAAAATTTATAAACCTTACAAACCATTAATTGCAGTACGCTTAACAAGTTCAGAAATTAATGGCTCCATTCTTTTCTCAGGAATGGAACCTAATAAAGTACATTGATAAACATAATCAAAATATCCGGAAGGATAAATTAAACCTTTGGGTACGTAGCAAATTGAGAATTCGCAATTTTTAGGATAAGTGCTTTCTAGAAACGCAGATCGAACGTCGGGTCCACAAAACTTTATAGTGAACATTTCCATCATTCAAATTTCTGATCCACATTCGACGTCTAATACAGTATATAAATTGACCAAATAAATTTTCTGTACAAAATACTGAAATAAAAAAAGTAACAAAATTTAATCTTTGTTCAAATCGGTCCATATACATTGGGCAGCTTATGCTGAAATTTTGCTGTACTTTATTTTAAAATTTTTTGGGACCTTTTATTAGGGTTATTTTTTTAGGATTAGGTTAGGGTTGGGACATTCTCGATAACTACTCCCCCTCAACATGAGCAACACTAATTATATTTGTTCGGTACATACTGAATCAGTCCTCTCTAATAACCCTACTCCACTTCCCTCCCCAATCTATTTCACTCATATGGCATTCTAGAGTCTACTCCTTTAGACATAACTGATTATATTAATATTGCTATGCATAATATTCGGGGCTTAAATGACAACCTAAAATTCCAGCTCTTCCTCGAACACTGTGCCCAGCATAACTATCACATAATCTCTATCACCCCAAACTCAACCTATCACCCTAATTAAACACACATGGAAAATATTTACTAAAATACTAACCCAACAATTCAACACTATTCTGTTTAAATATAATATCCTATCTTCCAACAACAATATAACACTACTATACACCTCAATCTTCAACCCATACTTACTATATCACATATCAACAACAAACCCTACTAGATACTAGCCCAAGATATATTGAAGATTTACAATACCATTTATATTTCCTTACTTGCCCTAGCCCTAAAGCAGATACAAATTTCACTGACTATTATCAACCTTCTAACCTCAATCTTCTTGCAATGCCAAAACAAGATAATAACTAATTACAGACCCACTCTACTCTACCATATTCAGGATATAGTATCAACCAGGTGAACAATCACTCCTATTTTATAGTGTATCTATTATAACCTTCTTATATTTAAAATCAGCAAACAAATCACTAGCTATACTCTTAGCCCAATTGAATACAATGTATTAGTAATAGCCTTTATAAATAACACTTTTCAACTTATTGACCAAATCTAAATTACAAGAATCAGCTAACCCAGCTCTTTGTGACCAAAATTCAAATTGCCTATATTCAATAGTAAACTTTATCTTAATATTAATTTTTCCTGCAATCAAAAAACTTATATATCACTAGATGGCTTTTATATTCTAGTTTATCATGATTGCCCTCTCTTTTCTTAATCTTAAATCTTTTTTTTTTAACTTTCTAAGTAGAAAAAAAATTCTAACTAATATATGAACAAAGAAAAAATAAATAAAAGAAAGAAAAAAAAAGACAAAAAGAAAAAAAGAGAAAAACAATTTATAATAAGTATACTAATATAACTCATGTCAGATACAAGTAAACATTATATAACAAATGCAATATTTGTACAACTCTATTGTAAAGCCTCACCTTAATATTGATTAATTTCTGACTTCCAGCCAGCTTCAGATACTTTTTTAATCCAAGGCCTGGTTTATAAACAAGATATATAATTGCAATCTACTGAGTTTATTCAAATTTGGATGTTGATCTTTTAAAGAAGGTAAGCCAAATCACACTTTTTGTAAAAAATTTTGAAAAACTGACAAGAAAGTAGATAAAAGTGAAAGAGAAACTACTTGATTATATAAAAAAAGTACAGCTTGAGAAAAGTATATTCTTTAATGTTCTCCAATTGTTTCACCTATACTAAACTTCATTAATAGAAAGAAGATCTTTTTTATTCTCCAAACCACCAAAATTTCATATAAAAGAATACCACCTTTTGCCAGTTATCTTATATAAAGCCACTTTTGGCTTGTATATTGAATATATAAAGGAGTCATTAAAAGAGTGAAAAAAAATTAATTTTTATAAAAACTGCTTATAAGTCTGCCTACTACAAGCCTTATCACTCCAGTATAGAAAATAAATTTTTTTTTTGTCAGAAATTTTGGTCCAAGTGATTGTTAGAAAGAGTTTAAAAATTTAAATATATTAAGTTTAAAAATTTATATTACAACATCTATTAATTCAATTAAGCAAAAAATTTTGGTATATATTAAGAATGAAAATACTTGCATGGTTTGAGCTTATAAATTATATACTGATTGAAAAAATTGACTTTTTCTAAAAAATTGCTTTTTTTTAAAAAAAAAAAAATTGAATTTATAAAAAAATTTATTACTTAACAAAATATTTATAAAAAAATAATGGATGTTCTATAGAATAGGTGGGCAAACTCTGCAAACTCCGCAACTCTGCTAAATATTTATTAATGATTACTAATCATTAGCGGAGTTTATTTTATATATTGCCCACCTATTCTATAGAACATCCAAAATAATAATAAATATGGTAAAAGATAGTTTAAAACCTAACCTACTTTATTTAATAAAAAAAATTGTAAGCAAATAACCAAAATTTAAAAACTTTTATATATAGATAATTTTAATTTTTGTCTTGTATATCTACATTTTTGCACCAGCCTATATTATTATTATTATTATTATTATTGGAATTTTAAAAACTTACTCGCTATTGCGGTGACACACAGCATGTAATTATTGTGGTTTGTATAATTGTGACCCATGAATAATTTTTTTATAATTAAATGATTGTGATTGCAATCGCGATTGCTAAAGCTGGCCAATTTATCATAAATCTGAACTTGATACAAACTCAGATTCATGATGAATTGTTAGAAATCACAATCATTTAATCATAAAAAAATTAATAATATGGGTCATGTATTGGCATTATCGTTGATATCATAATTTACTGTAAAAAGTTCAATTAAAAATTTTACCGACCATTACGGTGACACAGAGTACATAGTTAAAGTTATGTTAGCTTGTATTGGCAATATCTTTACATGCTATTGCGATGACATACATTATGTAATTATGTTAGTTTGTATTGACATTATCGTTGATGTCTATCGTAATTTACTGTAAAAACTCAATTACACACTATTGTGGTGACACACAGTATGTAGTTATATTGTTGATGTCGATCGTAATTTACTGTAAAAAGAAATTCGACTAAAAATTTACTCAGCTCTCGTTGATGTTTATCGTAATTTACTGTAAAAAATCCTTCAGACTATGGCGTATGTAGTTAAAGTTATGTTAATTTGTATTGGCATTATCGTTGATGTCTATCGTAATTTACTGTAAAAAATCCAATTAAAAACTTACTCGCTATTGCGGTGACACCAGGGTTGTAAAATTACGGTAATTTATTGTAAGTTACCAAAATGGTTGCTGGTAAGTTACTGTAAGTTACCGTGAAAGTAATCTATGCTTCATTCCGAAAGTATCTGTGCTTCATGTCCGTTAATTGCCTACTATTACGAAATTTTCTGATAATGTACGGATCCTACCATGGTAACTTACGGTAATTGACCGTAATTTACCGGTAACTTACCACGGTAAGTTTACCACTAACAACCCTGGGTGACACACAGTATTATGTTAGTTTATATTGGCACTATCGTTGATGTCTATCGTAATTTACAGTAAAAACTTACTAGCTATAGTGACACAGTATGTGTTGAAGTTATGTTAATTTGTATCGTAATTTACAGTAAAAATTCAATTAAAAACTTACTCGCTATTCAATATGTAGTTGAAGTTATGTTAACATTATCGTTGATGTCTATCGTAATTTACTGTAACAAATTCAATTAAAAAACTTAGACTATTGTGGTGACACAGTATGTAGTTAGTTATGTTAGTTGTATTGACATTCTGTCGCAATTTACTGTAAAAAATTCAATTAAACTTACTAGCTATAGTGAAACGCATTATGTAATTGTTATTTTGTATTGGCATTATCGTTGATGTTTATCGTAATTTACTGTAAAAAATTCAATTAAACTTACTAGCTATAGTGAAACGCATTATGTAATTAAAAGTTAAGCTATTTTGTATTGGCATTATAGTTGATGTTTATCGTAATTTACTGTAAAAAATTCAATTAAAAACTTACCGATTATTGCGATGACACTAGTTAAAGTTATGTAATTAAAAAACTTACCGACTATTGCGATGATACACAGTATGTAGTTATGTTTGTATTGGCATTCTCATTGATGTCTACTGTAATTTACTGTAAAAAATTCATTGTGGTGACACACAGTATGTAGTTAAAGTTATGTTTGTATTGACATTTTTGTTGATGTCTATAATTTACAATTAAAATCCTACTCGCTATTGCGGTGACACATGTAGTTAAGTTATGTTAGTATGCATTGGTATTATCGTTGATATCTATCGTAAAAAACTTACTTGCTATTGTGGTGATAGAGATTGTACCCGGGTAGACATTTTTATTATATGGCTATAATAAATTACCCGGATAACCGGGTAATTTAATAATACCTGGGTAGAGATTTTCTTGACGGGTACAATCTCTATGCGGTGACACACAGTATGTGTTAAAGTTATGTTGATTTTGTATTGGCGTTATCGTTGATATCTACCGTAATTTACTGTAAAAAATTCAATTAAAAACTCACCGACTATTGCGATGACACATAATAAGTAGTTATGTTAGTTGTATTGACATT